TACCTCAAGCAAAGCACATCCAGGCCGAAAGATGTGCTCAACTGCCACACTGTTGTTGGCGTAAGCGTGAAATTGGCCAAAATAGTGATGTCACTTAGACAGAGCTTCCTCCTACCTGCTCCTGCTTCTGAACCCTTGCCTGGAATCCCCTTTGTCTCAAGCAAATGCTGTAGCTTTTGTCCCTGCGTCTCAATGAAGCCTTCGGTTTCCAGAAACTCCCGCAGCTCTTTTGGAGAAAATTGAGTGCGCGGCATCTTTGAACTCAGAAGTTCTCGGTGCTTGTTGATTCCGACGAATAGAGGCGGTATGACCTCTCGCCACGGAAATTTCTCGCTAGATGCTACGGTGTTGTTCTCCACAGCATCTGCTACAGAATCGAGCCAGCGCGCAACTAGAAGCATCGTACCAGGGCCATCGTTGCATAAGTAGGACACTGCACGCCGGGTCGCCTCATCTCTTCCATCTTGTGTGAGTCGTTCAGACCGCTCCAGGACGTGTATGAAAGTTACGGAATCCTGAGTGACAAAGCCATCATAGAAAAATGCACACAAGTGACAATCTAGCTGGCATACATTTGCTAGGCGATTCGTTGGGGAGAAGGATACCTAGCGACCTGCTCCTGATTTTGTTGCCCGTGCCAATGCAGCACTTCCGCCTGTCGCGCGTGGAATTTCAGCTGCAGTAATACTTCGCCACTTAAATATGCAACTGCCCGTTGATGTTAGTCCTATGGACAAAGTTATTCTCTTAAGTCTTTATACGCTGAATGCGCTTTAACTCACTTCAGCTGGTGGAGGAGAGCTCGGGCCATCCTTGAGGGGCAGAGCACATAGGTGAGAAAGAGGCCTAAGTGGCTGGTCCAGAGCTGGCAACTCCTTGAGTGTAAGATATGGATATGGTGGCTCTGGTTCGGGTTCAACCGCCTCTGGTGTCTCTTTATTTTCATCTCTTTTGTCTTGTTCATCTTTTTCTTCAAGTGGAGCCGTGCTCTGGGCATCTGGCGGGGGAGACTCTCCATCTTTCTGTGCCTCGCTAGTTTTCTCTTTGTCTTTTGCGGGAGTTATCCTGACAGTCTTTCGTCTAGCCGTAGTCTTGAAAGAAGCAGAAGAAACCCTTGGGGGGGAAGTGCGGTCAGCCATGTTGCGCGCCCGAGGAAACGTAGGTGCAATTTTGCTTTGCGTTGCCCTCCTTGGAGGAGGCGCAGACATCCTCCGCCCTCTTGCAGACGGCGGGGAGAGCTCTCGG